AAGATACCCTGCTTTTGACACCAGCCATTATGCTAATTATTTTCTTTTGCATGTAAAAAACCTCCCAGTTCAGAAGCTGGAGGATCACTCCTTGTTGGCTGCCACAGCTTGTTCAACACATTAATAGGTACTTCCCACATCCAGTCACCAACTTTCTTTGCAACCGATAAATATGACATGGTGACAAGAGACCTACGTAGCTTACAAAATTGCAGGTACTTTCAGCTTTATATGTATGTTGTGATTACTATTAAACCAATGGGTGATCACAAAGCTCAAATTCTTTACAATGCTATGTAGGTTAACCAAATCTCTGACTGGAGACAGGCCATTATAATTCGTGTTTGTATCTGTATGTTGCAGATTACCTGTGATCAATATGAACTGTGCAGCACACTAGCATAACACTAAACTGTTAACTCTATAGCTTAAGTCCAGCCAGCAGACCCATAGTATGGGGCTTAAATTCCCTATTCCCATACAATAAAGGTTGCGTTTATGATTTCATACAGTTCCTAAATATAGACAGGGACATCTTGTAGATGAGTGAATTTTCGATACCATTATTCGTGATAAACCTTACCAAATAAAAGGGGCTCCCGGTGACAGCACCGATGCAACCGGCCAATGCTCCCACAATGATGCAGTTTGGTGTCGATATCTCTCCCGAACTGTCCGTCGTCCACCCTCTTTTTTCCGCGAAGTCGTACGTTCCTAACCTCACACCATTCAAAAACAGCTGATACCACAATGCAGGGACAAGGCCTTTTTGCAACGCTAAAACCCCATCTGCTTTCGCTACGGCATAAAAGGCATGAAGAAAGCCTCTGTAATGAACGGTATACATTCCACGGACTTGCAGTTCACCCTGCAACTGGAGTCTCGTTTTAATAACATCCAAGGGATTAGTAAAAAAACCTGCACCTATTGCAGCAACTCCACCCAAAACAAATTCCATAATTTAGGACTTACGGAAAAATAACGGGCCGTCTTACAGGCACACATAACTATCAAAGAATGACTCTATGGAAATTATCATTGTCCTTACATCGCTCCTTATCATGGATTATATTCCCCTCTCCTAACCAACAGCGTTTCATAACATTGATACCACATTCGTGTCACGTGAGAAACGGTAAATGTATGTCCTGTTTTTTTACTATTGTTTTTGTGTAAAAGAGAAAAATGGATTGTTTTCTACATGATGGGCTGTATAATTTACATAGTATTATAATTTTTACATAATTTAATGTTAATAGAGTACTGAAGCGACACACAGCGTCTTCTAGTGTCGTTTCGGTTCATGAGGGTCTATGGACAAAAAGGCTCCACTTCTATATTCTTACAGTCGTTTCTTTTCGATTTATTGCCAGTTCCTCCCTCATTTCTTGGTGTCTCCTAGCTCCTGGCTGAACCATCTTGTACTAAGTCATCCCATGGGCCACTTTCTCTATTCCAATGCTCTTCTAATTATTCTATATCCATATGTCGAACAAAGAACAAAATTGATGACTTCTAATTATCAAGTCACCATTCTTCTATGTCCATACACTATCTTTCAACATTATATTTTTCAGTTCTTCTCCTATAACAAGCTGACAATCTCAGCTTCACCATCATAGCCATCTGCTACTGAGCCCTCCATTCTGTAAAAGTAACCTCAAAATTATATCCTATTATCTATCCCCCTATACTTCTTAAACATTTCATATCAGTACTTGGACTTTGCTTTCGTTTGTACTTGAAATTGAATGTTTAACATCTGAGGTTGTCACACTGGTGTAGATATTGGATTTTCTGTTGCATCTTTACCTTGTAGTGTCTCTTTATGTAATGAACTTATAGCAGAGCATCAAGAAGTTTCAGTATATATATTGCTTGCTCTTTAGATTTTATCAATTGTTTAGTTTTACAAATAAAACTATTCAGTTTACCCATTTGAGAACTAAAATACATCATTTATCCAGTTAAGTCTTTCATCATCAAATCAATCTGGTCATTGTCTTATACTTGTAGTACAATATCAGGCTTTTCTATAGTCTCACCTTCCACCTTATTTTGACAAGTTTATATATATATGCTGGCTGTGTGAAAGGTAAAGGCTCTTCGCTCTCCAGGCCTGTAGTAAAACTTGAACTTTCCTTAAAAATTACACTCTCTTAAATATTTTCACTTTCCTGACATCTGAATGACCCCCTCCCACTTGTCCAAATGGAATGTCTTCAGGGTTGTAATACCACGTGGTCTTATAGGTGGTTACTATGTTTTTGAAGAATGCATCAGCTTCATTATCATGCCCTGTAACTTTGCAGGGAGGTAACAAGGGTTTTGAGGAATGTATTACCTTGAAGATTTCTGTCTTTTGGATTGTTGAGCTGTGTAGTCTGGTCTCTGTTTACCAACGTCTCAGAGGTCATACTGCCTCCGTCATCAGGGCTATGACAGAAATCTTCATACTCACCGCTGTGAAAACTTCAAATCTTACATGTATTACCTTCCTCTTCAGGTATAAATTCTTCCAAAACACCTATCACCTATATGGCTACACAGTGCAATAAGCAAGAATACCACAATCCATTTATTTATCTTCACATTAGTTCATATCTTTGCCAATACAGGGCGAAGCAGGTCACCTAGATTTGATTTTTCGGTGTTTCTATACGGGTAATAGGATATCCAAGGAGGTAAACGGGTCAGAAAATTTTCACGGGCCCATTAGTTAATACCTTCCCGACAGATGGCACGGCAATCCACTTATCTTTACATTACTTCATCACCTCGCCAATAGATGGCGCGGCAGTTCACTTTTCTTTACATTAGTTCATGCCCTCGCCAATACGTATTTCACATGAATTCTTTTGTATTAGAATACATTTTCACTACCAGCTACATTGTGGAGCAAGTGTCTCTTGTATGCAACTAAATGGGGCCCAATATAGCAATCAAATAATACAAACAGCAGTTTTATTGTAATTAAATGCACAATGTAGTTATTCATTCATAACACAATACTGAATAGGCCTATTACAATGAAGTGATTTCACAGTTTTCTTAACTTGCTCAGATTAACTTCAGAGAAGGAACGATGTTAAACTGTGACCTCCTCACATTTTATATTGCATTTAAGCACTACTTTCCTTTTAATTTTTCTGCTTTCCTTTGAATTTGTATGCAATAATCACCTTGAGGTAAACCATATGAATTATATTTAAAAATCTAGTCATAATAAAAAATTGTTTATACTGCACGAAACTTGTACAAATTAATTGGAAGAAACTGCAATACCATACAATGTTAAGGCTTTCAACCTTCTGTAATTATACAAATACTGCTTCATCATTCTCTTTCCTGTCACACTGACTACAGTAAACATTCACTATTATACACTATCCTTAATATCATTCATATACATACAATGCGGGTCGCTAATAATATACTGGCAATAATCAGTACAACACTTTTTTATACATCAAGTTTCCATTAAGAAATTTCCCTTACTTCACCTTTAGATGCAAGCATAGAAATTGAGAAATACTTGAACATGGACCCTTCAAAACTCATACAATAAAACTATTCATTATTCTGAAAATAACAAATCCACCAAGTCATATGGTGGATGCCAGTTTTTACTCTGGTACATGATCCTTCACAAATCTATTTATTAGGTATGAATGCTACAGAACTGTGCATGCTTTTCATCTGAAAAGACAAACTATATAATTCCATCAATCCCATGCAGGACTCAATATACAGTTACTGTTTACTTATTATTTACAATGAAGTTCAACTGATTAAGGATCATGTAAGGTTCTATGAAAAATAATGCTGATGTAATGCAATAGCTAACAATAAAAGCATACATAATTGATATAAATTGCAATGTACATTACATAAGTTAATTTTTAGAATATGTATTTAATAAAATTAAACAGTAGTCAGAGCAAAAGAGAAGAGTTTTACCATAGTAAGACACAACAAATATGTGAAGAAGAAAAAAATACAGTAAATAAAGTAATGAATATGAGCATATAAATAACAAATTAACATTAGTTTAGAAGCTCTTTTTATCTACATGTCTTACTCATTTATATTTTTCAAAGCTAAGGTTATTCTATGAGAGACAGTGTCAGTTCTAGCAAGGATATAGAACACAATGCAATCACTGAAGTCCCTGAGAATATGGTTAGTAAAAGGTGGGACACTTCCAACACACAGGTTCTGATATACTGGGATGCAAGAAGCTCCTTGCCTTAGATAAGAAACACCTCTGACTCTCAATTAAAGATGACTACAGACAATAGACACAGGATACATAAAAATGTGTCACTATAACTCTTATTATTTCTGAATTATTGTGAAAATATCTTTAGTATCACATTCGTTTGCATTGTGCCAGCAAACAACACTGAGTTTAATGTTCAGATTTATGTATATTCTATAGCAGAAAAGAAAAACTATACTGTGCTGATAAAATACAGTACATACAAATAACAATTAGCAACAAATGAGTATGCCAAAATGTCTTATTAATAAAACATATGTAAATAGAGAATATCTGAAATCTCAAATAACTGTATATCAGTTAAGTACTGGCAGTGAATCCACTTTTTTCTAGTGTTTCTTCACTACTTCAGAACTTTCATTGAATTTGGAAAGCAAAAGTCATACAATTTCAGTATCCCAACTTCAAATGAATTTTCAGACTTGTTCACAAAAACAGTCTTTAGTACATACTACATAACTATACAGTACTATATTTATTAAAAACTGACTGATGCTATATAACCAGTTTAGCTGACATTTCAACAAACACACCAATGACAAGATTAAACTGTTCAGTATTTATGATGCATAGATTATATAAATCAGGACTGGCATTTATTGACAAGTCTCTCGTTATCCAGACTGCAGACCAACTGCTTCCCAAACAAAAGATAAAGATCATTACAGTACAGAAATATCATTTTCCTTACATCACTCAATTATAGTTCATATAGATTCTGGGGGATAGTGACAAAACTTCCCTCATCATTAAATGTACTAAATTTCATGCCACTTTACTTTTATTAGAAATAACATGTTTATTCATTAGTATCCTTAACCACTCACAACAACTGTGAAATATAACCTTAAGGCCAAAATGTTAAATGTTAGAGAAATATTTCTGAGAAACTAATCTCTTAGAATTACAGCACAATTTCAATTATACGAAAGTCATAGACAGGAAAGAATAATAAACTACTTCCTCACATCTTTAAGAATATGTTTATGTTGTCTGTGGTTTTATGCTGTCGCTAAATCTTGACATACTGACATTAAAGAACATACACTCAGTGCTGTATGCAAAAACCCATTTTGTAAATCAGTGCAAACAGATGGAATATGTGACCAGCACAATGGGATAGCTTTCATAGCTAAACAGACTCTTACATTTTCCACATACAAAATTTGATTAATAATGCCTCTATTACACATGAGTAACGAAATATTCAGCCTTTGTGACCACACTAAATCAAATAGAAAATGTGTTTTATTTTCAACTCTGAATTAGTTTCAATAATTTTAAACTTTTAATAATTAAATATAATAAACATTCATTTGTCCAATTGTTTTGCATAACAAATGCCTCTTAACCATGTACAGCAATGCTAGTAACAGAACAAAGTTTCACTTCACTACTACTGCTGAATAGGAATTTAATTTCTTGCCAGTTATATTGATCTGTTACTCTGTTGGGGCCCTTGGGTTCTGGCTGTGCTATAGATTTGGCTAAGTCTACCCACAGACATGTACCATTTAGGCGGTGTATGTGTCAGTTTCCTGATAGCTGCAAGTAAGGATGGTCAAATTTTTGGATTGTATTGAGGGAATCTGTATAGTAAATTAGTTTTAGATATAAACAGCTAGTTACATTCAAAAGTCTAATGGAAGAATGGCAAAAGCCATGTGTAATACCAAACTGCAGTCAAGTCTCACTGTACTGGAAGGTTAAAATTTTCCATAAGCTGTCACTACCGTGCTACTACCTCCTCTTTTGCTAGTGTTATACTTTCACTCAATATCCTTATATTCCTCCCCCTCTTGCGCCCACACAACGGGTAACAGATCAGTTTCTTCTTTTGGAATTTGTTCTCATTTACTTGAAGCAATGAAAGATAAAATAATGATGGATAAGGCTGTATTCATGACAATGTAAGACTTGTTCTAAATGTGGATTACTACTTGGAAAATTTTGTCCCAGATACAGAGAGTTGATTGTACATATTTGGCTTAAATTACTTACAGAAAACTAAAAACATTAACTGAACACGATCTTAAACAAATGTTTGGTTTAATTGTTACTGTTATTGTTTGCCTGTAACAGGCTTTCTGCAATAAAGGAATGATCACTTCCACCATCATAGCTGTTGTTGGTACTGGTGGTGTCATCAACATCACCACCATCATAATTATTCTTATTCTTATCATTATTGTTGTTACTGATGGTGGTGGTGGTGGTCTTGCTATTACTCCACACCTATTTTATCATTTTGTGCTGACTCTGTAATTGGCTCCTGTAAATGCTGTCAGCACATTAAAATAAAGAAATTATTATTCAGTGAGTGTCTGTGTATTTGGAAACGCTACTCTTCAGAATTCTTGTGACCACTCAGATCGAAAAAGCATTTTTAAGATGGATAATTATTTCTTATAATTTCCCTATGCCTTGCCTTATATGTCATGTAGTGGGACAGCTTAAAAAAAAGTTCCGTTCATATTCACAATGCATACATTTTTATATCATCTACACAGCGAAAATTCACAATCTTATTGCACAAGCCATTCCAGTGATTGACATCCTGAATAAGCAAACAATTCCAAGAATGATGGTAAACTTTATCTAACAATCATTTGTAATAACCTCATTAAAGTCTGCATTGTATTCTAAATCTTAATGCTCCTATCCCCTAATGCAAAAAACAAGACTCATATCTTGGATATGATACATTTTAGCAACAAAGCCATAACAATATGGGGGGGGAGAGAGAGAAAGCCAACTGAAGATTGGACTTATTTCATCTGACTTCAGATATAAGCAATATCTAGGTTTCTCAGACTGACCAATCCATTTCTTAATCAACCTTCCCAGCTCTGAACATCTATATAGTCAAAAATGTGCTCAGACTATAATGGACTCTGGAAGTCATCAAATTCTGTCTCATGATGAAATACAAAGTATTATAATTTACTAACCATGCACAAAATGTAAACAGTTTTAAAAGTCACATTTCAAGTTTCATCATTTGTAATCCAGATGTATAATAATGAAATGTTAATGGAAATACAGCTGCAACACAAGGCGGGAAAAAAACTCTGTCCACACAAATACGTACAATACAAAGAAGATATTTCTTCTTGGACTAGATATGAATTCTGTTGCAATTTGGTGACATCCTGAAAGTACAGTTTTCAATGTATCAGATGTTCTATAATTCCTCTACTGATACTTACATGCTCCATTGCTCAGTGTTCTCACTTAAAGACATGTTAAGAATTGAAATACTTTAATGGTATGTTTGTTTTACCAAAATAAACATGCTGCAAATTTCATACTACTGCAAAATATTTAAATCTAGATAACAATGAAAAATGAATTAGATAAAATGCAAATGATAAGTTTAATGAACTGCATACCAGATTTCAGTCAATAATGTATTTGTAATAGAGGCATAGGGAAGTATGGGTATAATTTTTAAGACATAATGCCTTGAAACAAGTTTCATTAACTATTCAGCAAACCTATGTCAGTTAGTAGTCCATATAAAGAACACATACCAGCAACCTTTAAAAACAGGTTTTCACATAATCATTACAAAAGTAGAAAAGTTTCATTTGGCCATGACAATAACTGATAACTGTTTACTTCACTGTGCCCTTTGTCCTCAACCTTACCGAGTTCTTTCAACATCAGCACAGAACCAAACGAGAAGTCACCTAGTAAAACTCTAACTCTTCATTCAATCTGCCCTGATGGATCATTGCATACTGTACAAAATGGCAATGATGGGGGGGGAGGTCAAATTCTGAATTTTAATTTATCTTACAAATGTATAATTACCCAATAATAATTAAGTTTTCTATTTTTGGAAGAGAAATCCAATGTGGTAGATTAGGAAGGTAGCAAAAATCTACAACTTTTGTTACCTATGACTGATAAGATTTTTGTCATCTAATGAGATCGTTGAAATGATCTGTGTAATGACGCACCTACCAAGCAGTTACATTAAGCATATATTATAAATTATACCAAACAGATTGGACTCAATGTCTTTGACAGTAAAAAGAAACAAGAACTAATATTGATTGATGTTTCTCGCAAACATCATGAAATTCTTGTAAATATGAGTATATAAAGCTTCTTTTCATTTAAATATACTGATTTCTCCTTGCTTCTGATTATAATTTTAACAAGTACAGTCTGTCCACAAAGTACCATTGGGGTTTTGAAAAATTGTGGCGTGCAAACAAATTGAACTAGCCACATGCAGTTTGTGGCAGATTACAGTGAAACTCTGGAAGTTTTTTACTGACCTCAGTAGACCTCGATGTGGGCTCCCTTGGTAGCACAGAGAACGTCCAGACGATATTCGAGCTCTTGCCAGGTCTCTTTTTTTCAAGAGCAGACGATCAACATGAACACCAACCTGGACATGCTGGAACTATACGGAGTACCACAAATTGAGCACTTACAGCCAAACATCATTCTGCAACAAGATGGTGCTTCACCTCATTGGGGTCTGTAGATACGCACGTACCTAAACAGGACATTTCCAGGAAGATGGATCGGCAGAGATGGTCCAATGCCTTGGCCTCCACGTTCACCAAATATAACACCACTGGATATCGTCTGGACGTTCTCCGTGCTACCAAGGGAGCCCACATCGAGGTCTACTGAGGTCAGTAAAAAACTTCCAGAGTTTCACTGTAATCTGCCGCAAACCGCATGTGGCTAGCTCAATTTATCTGTGCGCCACAATTTTTCAAAACCCCGATGGGACTTTGTGGACACACTGTACAATTATGAATGGCCAGACTGTGACCAACAACTTCTTCAGGCACTCTCACCTCTTCTGAACATTGTTCTTTTACTATACTTTAATTTTACATAATCACACAACAGTTTTTAGCTGCCGTATCTTCTTTCTTCTCCACACTGTTTTCAGCAGCTTTCTGTGCCACAATTTTACGCAACAGATCAAAGAAAACCTGCAAACAGCAATGAAAACAGAATGATTGTCAAACTTACATGTATAAACAATACAAATATTTCCTCCAGCCTTCATAATGTTTGTGTTTGTTTTCCATTTTCATCTTTTTGAACACAATAAAGACATATGGTCTCACAAAGAGTGAAGAAATTTGAGACCAACAGATGCCATGACCAACACAACATGAAACTTTTACATAACAGGCATACCAAAAACAAAAATATCATATTGAAAAAAAATCTTGTGCAAGAAATACTAAAAGCAAGGATTATTTATACCCTGTCACATGGTTAAATGTGAAGCTTTCATTGATATTTAAATAAAAGTGCTGTAGTGCTAGAATGAAAGCTTATTTATTTGCATTTAATTCTAGTCTGCAGAATGCTTCAAGACTGCCATGCAGAATATCAGCTGACAAGACATAAGCACATGCAAGCTCTGAGGACAAAGTCACAGTAACTCACTCCATTTGAAAACAGTTTGATAATTAAAGTGTAATCACCTTGAATAATACATTATTGGAATGGAAATACAAGTAAGTAGAGTTTCCTTCATAATAAAAGACAAGAATCAAATAATGCAGTAAAGCATATTATTTTTTCATATCCACTGATACTCACTCAAATCCATTTTATCCTACTGAGATCACAACATGGGAAAACATTATAGTAATTGCATATGGGCGGACATTATTTTTCATACTTGCGAAAGATGTAGTTCCTTTCAAAATAATAGAGACAACATTTCTTTAGGACGTTTGTTTTTATATTTTTATATACCAACTGTGAAAAGTTCCAAGATTTGTAACTTCCTTATTTACTGAAATTAAGAATTTACAATCATTTATTCACTTTAATGAAATGCTAAAAAGTGCATAAGGAAGTGAAAAAAACATATTCTTCATCATAACTGCTGATAACTATATTTTTCCTTGTTACACAAAAAATAAGTTACCTAAAAACCAGGTGAGATATCTCCAAGCCATATTACTACTTTTCAAATGGAGGCTACTGGAATATTCAGTAATGCTTAACAACACTGATGTGATGTAACATAAAATGATACTTTAGAATGTATGAAGGGATGGGAAAAAGATGCAATAATCTCTTTTAATATTGCAACCAACATGTAAATAAGCTGTGGTACAAGCTCTGTGATGGTAAACTGCAAGCATTTCCTCACAGTAAGCGAGCAAAACTACAAAACTGACTCAATGCTTTGGATACAAGGTGCCAATGATATACAAATATATAATGCTATAAAAATGGAAGCAAATAAAGCAAACCTAGAGAATGACACATTTCAGTTTCTTCCTCTTGCTCTTGTCTTTCCCTCTGCCGTTGCTTGTTTTATTATCTTCAATCTTCCGGGACCGAATTTCTCGCATAAGGTCGAAAAACACCTGTAAATGCGCATAACTCCACTTGTATATGTCTACACAAAACAAAAGCTGCCTCTCTTAAATCAATGAACATAGTTCAAATCATGCATGATGTGTTATTAAATTTATGTTTATCAAGAACTTCAAATTATAAACTTTTAAAATCATTCTCAGGTAGTAAATGCCAGGGCACTGGAGAAAAAGTACTCCTGACTATGAAGTTCATCATAACTCCTGAAAATAATCCACACATTAGTTCCTTCATATATGACTGTAACCATTTCCATTGTGGCATTAATGAGTACCCACTCTAAATGTTTCTGAGTGTTGTTTTCTAACATTATCTTGAAGTCATGTGACAAAACTGTTTCAAATATGAGGCCAAATCAAGAAATGCTGATGCTCAATCTGTAAAAACCAACACCCTATACACAAAGAGATGAGATGTTAATTTCCTTTAAAGGAAGCTTTCAGGATGTACACACTTCTTTGTCCACAGCGTTCCTGACATTAGGTTTCTATGAGTGAATTGCTTTGAAAATTATGTTGGAATAAATTTTCCTAGCATTAAAAGAGCCAGCCAGAAATTCCTTTAAGGGAGCATAATTATTACTATGTTTGCCAGCTAGTAAGACAGTAACACTTCAGCACTTCTCATGGGAATTTAATTTGTTGATCAGAAAACAAATTCTACCAAATTCATGCAGTGTGTACTAATATAAAAGAAATTACATCATGCCTCAATGATGTTAATTGAATTATGACACAGCCAAGCAATGTCTAAATAGTCCTACCACAAATAAACACAAACCAATCCAATGTTACCACTTCAGCATTTACTTCTGCTGTAACAACTTACAAGAATTTGCAAAATTATTCCTCCTACTGTAAGAAATATACATGACAACTTAATAAAGTACCACAATAATAGAAGCTTTGAACTGTTTACATGAAGAACATAGGAAAAAGTGAGTTACAGAACATTCTACTGCCCTTTTCCTTATGCCGATAAAAAACTGCCTGATTAACATGCCTTATGTGTTGTAGAACAAGCCAGTCTTAACAAGTGAAGAACTACAGGTATAAAGTAAAGGGCACTAACATTAAATAATTAAACACAGTATTATTATAAATTAAGTAACACTTTAAACATTTGCTGTATATAGTTATATAATACAAACTAATATCAACAGAAACACAGCTCTGCTTTTTTAACTTCACGGATGACTTCAGCTGTCATCTGGAAATATTCAAAGAACTTGTCTATTACAAGGTTTCCGGTTCAACTGATGTAATAGCTTCACAATTTGGTGTTTCAGGTCATCAAAGTCAGTTATAAGAATATACATACTGCAACATAACCCCACAGAATGAACTCCACTCAAGTTACAACAGATCTTTTGAGGTCATGGCCAAACAATCCTTCAGGAAATGCTTATATACCATTAGAAAAACTTACATAGCATGTTCTTAACTAAACAACTTGCCATTATTTAAACAACATTTTATACTGTTGTTTAAACTGATACTTTTACAACCTTTAAATGACAATTTCTTCAAAATACTTTTCTAAAAAATGCACACTTCACTTGTAATAACCCTGTATAATGTCACATTTGGATGAGATCTTGGTAGCCCTCAAACTAACAGAGACCATTACAAACTAAACCACCTTCAGTGAATTATATGAAAATGTCACAAGCATCTTTCTTCAGTGTTAACTCTGGAATATCTTTGTCTCCTAAACATGTGAACATATTTCTTTAACTGGCACCTTCTTGATAATAAATATTTAATTTCATTATATGCTACATCACACTATACACAGAAATAGCAGTAGCTACACAAGAAACAAGCACTGCGAGGGGTTGATACATCAGTTTTAAAGCAAACACCAAAAGCAGCAGACAAAATTCAAAAACTAACATTTACCACCAAAACATGAAATGCAATTTAAAAAGTACTTTATTTTAGTCCCAGTTTAGACCACAGGGAACACACTTGGGCATTTGAATCACACATTAATTATTTTCACTGTGCAATGTGGTGGTTCAAAATCACATTACAAATCTTATATATACCATATAACATTAAAATTTCAGTAGTGTATGTGTTCATTTTCAGATACAGTTGCAGGGCCACCAAATAACTAGACATAATTCTCTTGTCAAAAACATATCTTGAATAAAGATGGTTATGACTGATTGACTGACTGGTTCATTTGTAGGTTATTCATTGGACAAGTTATATGACAGGATAAATAGTGCCTGCTACAATATTTTTTACTGCAACAATATATTAACCCACACAACTGAGATTAACAGAGAAAATATTGTCTTCATTTACCACAATTGCTGCATCCTTCTTTAAAACATCCATATCTGAAATTTGGAAAATGTAGTGTATTCTTTCACTTGATACGCAATTCATGTGTTCTTTCTTTACCAGGCATAAATGTTATGGAACATTCTACCATCCTTTATATCTTTTGCACAACTTATTTATATTCAGTACTTGCATGCAAAATGCAGTACTTTCATCAAAAAGTCTACCTAATTACTCTCACAACATGAATTTCAAACCAAAGAAAACAGGTTTTTTGCAAAATATAATGTAAACACAAACCAAACAGTTGTGAATAATGGGTAAATCTTTGGCATGTAATCTGCAGAGAAATGCTGGTGGTGGCTGCTGCTATTTCTAAACTATTATATGAAAGATGTAGAATTACTACTAATGTAATCAATGAAAAAGCTCCCACCTTGTCCACATTGTCCCTCGTTTTTGCTGAAGTTTCCACATATGGTACACCCCACTGCTGCGCTCTTGCACTAGACTCAGCAAGTGACACTTTCCGTTTCTCATCCAAATCACTCTTATTCCCAACCAGTAGGAATGGAATATTCTCATCATTCTTCACACGCAGGATCTGATCTCTGTAACAATTATAAGCTATATAATGTTTTGATATAATGTCATTATTACAACCACTTACTAAAGAGCATCACACTGCAACACATAACACCAGAATTCTTCAATAATAACAATAACTCCCATTTTGGTATGCAGTTCAATGCAGATTAGTTTTAATTATGCAAAGCAAGGAACAATGCCATTCATAATTTCACCAATTGATGACTTTGCTTCTACAGCATAAAAATCTGTATTTGTCACCCTGCTTTATGCATGAAATTTGGTAGAAATCATATTAATATTTTACAAGTGTAAGTCAACAACATGTATGCTACACGTACAATGTTCATGACCTCTACTGACTCTAGACAAATCTAGACATAACCCATTCTAATATGGAGGCACCCACAATGCATACTCCATTACCCCCATTGAAGAGGTTATTATGCAAATGATGGTTCAGATAAAGGACCTGCTTCTCAGATACTATTTCAGAAAACAACAGGAAATCTTAAACTAAGGCCCATTATATTAAAATACTAAAGTTGTTTCCTCACCTAAATTCTTGAGTAGCTTGGAAGCTCTCATCTTCCGTGATTGAAAAAACACACAGAAATCCTTCTCCACTTCGGAAGTAGTTGTCCCTGAAACCAGTGAATATTAAATAAACACTGACAAAAGAGAAAGAAAACTGCACATTTTTTATCGAACACACTACAATAAACACAGAAACACACCTTATAGCAGCATAATCTTCTTGTCCAGCTGTATCTAGAATATCAATCTGTACTTCTTCTCCATCCAATACTACTTTCTTGCGATATGAATCTGCTTTTGTGGGTTCATAATCCTCAACAAACTGAAAACAATACGATAAAATTACTGACCTTCTCCCTCTGCCAAATTTTATTCAGCACAAAACCGTGTTATTAAACAGATCTAACCTCATCATACATAAATTGAAGTGTCAGGGCCGATTTTCCAACACCTCCACTTCCCACCATAATAACTTTGTGAAGTGCAGGTTGTTGATTTGGTTTTTTCGACATGTCTCTTTCCTAGGGATATGTACAGTACAAATGATGAATGCTGAAAAATACAAATGACATGTGAATTGAAGTTATATACTCTACTAAAAATAATTTCGTACATATATTTATAAATATATGTCGCCAGGAAAAATAAACCAATTGTATTCAGATATATCAATGCCTACACTAATTATATGAGGTCACACTATTCTCATTGAACACACTGCATCATATCCGTGACAGATAATGCTGTCCGATCCTGACGATCGAAAAGTTACAAACGGTGCAAATCACGTACTCATATATAGCTCTTAAAATCTCTGAAATGTACACTACAACCTTATACCTTAATAACGACTTTTCCAAAACGTTGGAAACTACGAACATTACATCAATTACGATGTAGAGGCGTTGTCTGCTACCAACCAAAGCCAACACCATTAAGTCGTTGACCTTCCGGATTGTTTCTATTTTAATTAATTTCGTATTTAAACAAACCTTTGATTTCTGAATTTAATTAAGGACAATTATAACCCCAATGAAACAAATATACAATTTATAACACACCTCTCGAACTAAGCTTTTATTTTTGGTTTCCGATTAACTATATCACTCGTCCATTTCAATGTCGCCAATAGATGTTTGGATGACAAGGTGCGTGGTTATCATACGGCATATGGACTTACGTGTATCCAACTATTTAACGAAGTACTAACGTGTTAGTTTTACAATTACTGGATATCCGATCGTTTTTGTGTTTTAGTAAGTGTACTAAATACAGACGACAATATCTTATGATTGGCAATACTGTATTACCTCTCGCTAAATGATGCGTTACTTTTACTTTAGTCTACAGAGGATCTCGCCAGGTAGCGCTAAAAGCAAGAAGGCAACATAGTGAGTGACATCTATGAATGACGGTGTAGTTATTTTAATCATTCATACTACTACTACTACTACTACTACTCATAATAGATGCCGCCAGCGGGGTCATTTGCAACTCAGAACATTAGACCCAATTTCCTCACATGAAGGAGTGACTTCGGGGTCCCAGTTGAATCTGCAGCAAACCTTATGAGTCACTCACATAAGTGATTAAAACGTTACAGTGGAACCACGGTTCCGTAGAATTTGACGTAAATACGTCTATACCGTAATGAGTTTATATAGTGGCTTTATTCTAAATATTTCCTTTATACACGCTTTACAATTGATTAAAATTTGAGTAAGACATTGCTTATTTAACTTCAATTAGTTACGCTTAAGATGGGTCTGTGGTAGCTGAAATATGTTATAAAATTTGTACATTTTAGAGTATCAACATATCGTGCAAACACCATATCTATACAAATTGAAGTTATATACTCTACTAAAAATAATTTCGTACATATATTTATAAATATATGTCGCCAGGAAAAATAAACCAATTGTATTCAGATATATCAATGCCTACACTAATTATATGAGGTCACACTATTCTCATTGAACACACTGCATCATATCCGTGACAGATAATGCTGTCCGATCCTGACGATCGAAAAGTTACAAACGGTGCAAATCACGTACTCATATATAGCTCTTAAAATCTCTGAAATGTACACTACAACCTTATACCTTAATAACGACTTTTCCAAAACGTTGGAAACTACGAACATTACATCAATTACGATGTAGAGGCGTTGTCTGCTACCAACCAAAGCCAACACCATTAAGTCGTTGACCTTCCGGATTGTTTCTATTTTAATTAATTTCGTATTTAAACAAACCTTTGATTTCTGAATTTAATTAAGGACAATTATAACCCCAATGAAACAAATATACAATTTATAACACACCTCTCGAACTAAGCTTTTATTTTTGGTTTCCGATTAACTATATCACTCGTCCATTTCAATGTCGCCAATAGATGTTTGGATGACAAGGTGCGTGGTTATCATACGGCATATGGACTTACGTGTATCCAACTATTTAACGAAGTACTAACGTGTTAGTTTTACAATTACTGGATATCCGATCGTTTTTGTGTTTTAGTAAGTGTACTAAATACAGACGACAATATCTTATGATTGGCAATACTGTATTACCTCTCGCTAAATGATGCGTTACTTTTACTTTAGTCTACAGAGGATCTCGCCAGGTAGCGCTAAAAGCAAGAAGGCAACATAGTGAGTGACATCTATGAATGACGGTGTAGTTATTTTAATCATTCATACTACTACTACTACTACTACTACTCATAATAGATGCCGCCAGCGGGGTCATTTGCAACTCAGAACATTAGACCCAATTTCCTCACATGAAGGAGTGACTTCGGGGTCCCAGTTGAATCTGCAGCAAACCTTATGAGTCACTCACATAAGTGATTAAAACGTTACAGTGGAACCACGGTTCCGTAGAATTTGACGTAAATACGTCTATACCGTAATGAGTTTATATAGTGGCTTTATTCTAAATATTTCCTTTATACACGCTTTACAATTGATTAAAATTTGAGTAAGACATTGCTTATTTAACTTCAATTAGTTACGCTTAAGATGGGTCTGTGGTAGCTGAAATATGTTATAAAATTTGTACATTTTAGAGTATCAACATATCGTGCAAACACCATATCTATACAACTAATGCAACAATAGATTTCTTAATAATTCTTATATAAGATAAGTACCTGTGATATTGTAAAACGTTTTTACCAGCACAAAATTATCTACTCTACGATGCACTTCTTCTACAAGCGATTCACAGCTCAGCTTTTTCCGCAATAACGAAAGCGGAATGTTGACGGCAGTAATGAAACATAACAATGCCGAGTACACAGATGACGTTTCCTAGGTAACATAACAATGCATGCAAGCTGACCATTGTTGTCAGTCCATATTTACAAATTGTTGATATTTCCTACACATTTTCCTGTCACTTTTTCGTAACAGTTTTTTTGCCGAATGACCCTTCCGTATAAACGTATTTACGTCAATAAAAGGAACATCATCGCATAGTTATTGATTTCAAAAATGAACGAGCACTCACAAATCCACAGTACAATTCATTTTGCGCAAACAATTTACATATACATCTCCACTTACCTATCGCCAAAGACACTGCTAGAAAGACAAGATGAAAACATACAGTAGTAATTTGGAAATCAGTGGAAAATTTTTTAGGAACCTCAAAGGAACTGATTCAATGCGTACTTTGGGCGATAATAGGCTATTGGAAAAAATTGTAACGTTACAAACTGGATTCAGTCGGCTTCTATAAATATTGTGATGAACCTTCCGGTTCTGTAAAAGGGTGTTCTTGTTTAGCTGGATTACAATAAGTTTCTTGCGGTAGAAATTTCACCATGGAGTTTATAAATTCTTTAATTATCTAAACCTCAATAAGTAAACTTCTTGTATATCTTGAGATATGTATAAAATAAACTGTTTACTTCATAGGTCTGTATCTGCTTCAATGCCAAATTGTGCTTATCTCCAGAAGCACTGATGAAGTGACAAAGTTTAGTATTCATACCAATGTTTCTATATTGTATCTTGTTACGTGAATGAAGTGCTCTTTGTTTAAGTCAATTTCTCATACGAACCACGTTAACTCATACAGACCGCAGGAATAATAAAACCCTTCTTCTGATCAAGTAGATTCATGTAACGGTCTACACTTCTTTAAAATATTGAATTAATGATGTGCTACTCGCCAGTCGCTCTGTTACCTGGAGTGGACATATAAACTCATCACAGTGTACCTTTCATGAACACGATGGATGCTAGGAAATATCGTCTTTAACTAATTTACTAACGAAATGCATTATTTTTAGGTGGTCATTTAGCAGTAATTCGACTGGTTACGAAATTACCTGCGTTACGCAACCTAGGTGTTGAAGATGGTTGTCTTCTGGGTTGTAACGCTGTGTAGTCATAGGGATGACGATTGTGGAGGTAGAAATTACCTCTGAAACGTCGGTAAACGTCCACCAGACTACACGGCGCTACAATACAGAAGACAATCATCTTCATACTCGAACGACGTGAGAACCTGAAATTATTCAACCTGAGAGTTCATAATCTATTCATAAAAGTACGTGTCAGTAAAATCAATCTGACATTCCTGAAAACAGTTTCTTTAACATTAATTTTTGTACGGTCTTTCCATTTCAGCTTGAGTTTTATAAATCACTTTTATCAAAAAGAATCTGTAAATAAACACGTAGATGATAATATTATCTCAGCTCTCAAGATTGAAGCTCTAATGGAACGAAGGTCAAATGTCTATTATTGCAGGTTATTAAATCGTATCTGCAAATTAAGTAGTTTTTGCATAACAAAATAACATCAGTTGTTGTTCAGTTTCGAAGGTAAGCGAACTATACACATTCTCTAAGTCCAGGGTTACCAAAACATTTCTTTTCAAATTCACGTCATCTCCTCTGGTTTATTTTTACGTCAGTCTGTCTTTTTAGTTAGTTATTAATTAAACCCACTGTAAGCGGTTAATATTTTGTTTCCGTCTCTCCGTTAAGTGAAGGCAGATTGATGGACTGACAGATGAACAAGTACGATGGATGGATGTATATTTAGATGTGACAGACGGATGTTTATATCGTGGTTTAGGAGATGACATGACCTGTGTATCAAAAACACATTCTTTATTCCATTGAAATATTCACTATTTTCTTCTAGTGCTACCATAAATTAATTTTCGTGTAGTCTTCCCTATTATGCAATATTCTCCAGCCTCCTGGAACTTCCTCTTTCTTAGGTTTAAATATTATCCTCATCAACCTGTTTTCAAGCACTCTCAATATGTGTTCTTCACTAATGTGGAGATCAAGTTTCATACCCAAATAAATCAACAGGTTAAATTGAGATTTCATCGCAGTATCAAAAAACGTCTTCTACTACGAAAAAGAAAACGATGCAAGTCACAGTGATGGCAAAAGCTGTCTCGTTCTTCTTCTGGCACTTCTCCTTGCTGCTGGTGTACATGGCGTCACAAGCTCAGGCAGAATGTCTAGTCAACATCGCTCAGGGTGCGGTCAGGGGTTCCGTGATGACGTCACTTCACGGAAGAGATTTCTGTTCTTATAGGGGCATTCCTTACGCTGAGCCGCCAGTAGGGGAACTGCGCTTCAGGGTGAGTAAATCTTCTGGTTTGGAATAATATCATACACTGAGAGCTGAAAGCACCATTCTACCTCCAGACCTCTGTCAGACGTACAAAATAGTAAACTAACTAACTAACTAGAGTTAAAATAGTGGGAAGCTGTAAAATCTCAAACGTGCATACCCAGTTTTAGGAAAAATCAAACTATCAATGTCTGCAGTGTAATCATGGCAGAGGGAGGAACACGAGTGTTCAGAGGAATGGACCTGGAAAGACGAGGTGTTTCGGATCAGTGAGCGTTGATTTGTGCTGCAGGCTCCGCTGCCTGGAGGGCCATGGACGGGAGAACTGAATGCAACAGAAGATGGCAACCCATGTTCCCAAGGCTTTCTTTCGTTTTACTTCGGCAGTGAGGACTGTCTTTATCTGAATGTATACACCTCACAGGTAAGCTAATTCAATGCTACGACCGTCCTTCACAGTCATTCGTCTGTCAAGACATGCCCTGCCTTGAATGGAACCCGTACCTTCATCCACTGGACTCCGTGAGCTAGTTCAATCCAATCCCGGCCTCAAATCGTATTGTTGTAATAGTCTTAATATTATATTCCATCCACGCTTAGGTCTGTCAATGCTCTGTTCGATTCTGAATTTTCTACAGTTTCTTCTCTCTTACGCCCAAATAATTTTCTCGGCATTTTATCTCAGACCTCACAGCTTTAGGGCTGTCACACGCCCCATAAATATGGAGCTGTGCCTTATTTCACTGGCTCGTTCCGATGCCCTGCAAAAGTATATTAGGAAGTATAACTGCCTCATTTTAACATTATCGTCCCATCTAAGTTACTGAGGCATCTGTTCCCTTGCAGTTTTAAAAGAGAACTTGACAAAGCTCTCACTTCTTGTTTTCTCACATTTTCATTCATCCATGCCATCCTCCTTAGTACTGAATTTTACCTAACATGATCTTGGTTAATGTTGCATTGCAGTCTACTGCAGAACTTCTGCCTGTCATGGTGTTCATACACGGAGGAGCATACATTTTAGGAAACAACAGGGCTCCTAATTACGGTCCTCATTACTTGCTCGACAAAGACATCATCCTGGTCGTCATAAACTATCGTCTTGGCGTTCTGGGTGAGTTTAGTAAAAGTTGATCCATCATATTAATCAGTCTGAACTTATAACTTGGAATGTGAACTAGTTTCGCATCAAAGTAAGGATAATAATGTTTTTAAAGTGCGCCCTCGGTTTGTATTAGGAAGCTGGTGGGTAGAACAGGGTTCAGCGGAGAATCAGGCCCTCGAAGACCGAACTGATCCTCTACCTAACCCGACAAACTCATCAACTTCCTATTTATCCTCACTTTAGTTTTCAAAATGGAGGCAGCACGTTTTTTTCGAAAAGTGGATATACAAACATCGGACTAAATTGCTTAAAACTCACAAAACCCCTACATAAAATCACATCGCCATAAAAACCGCAGGTTGCGCGTTCTGTATGTCGATAAATTCCATAAAAGGTTTCCTGAGTACTGGAGACGACGCAGCGCCAGGTAATTTTGGTCTAAAGGACCAAGCCGAAGCCCTGCGGTGGGTCCAGAAGAACATCGAAGCGTTCGGCGGTGATTCAAACCGAGTGACGATATTCGGAGAGAGTGCAGGGGCTATGTCGGCCCACTTCCACATTCTGTCGCCAGTCAGCAAGGGGCTGTTCCAGGCGGCCATTTCGGAGAGCGGGTCTGCACTTATGCCATTGACCTTTCGCGCCACCGGCATGCTCTCGCAGGCAGAACGATTGGCGGATGCTGTTGGGTGCCCCAAGGAGAACACAGAAGAACTCATCAGCTGTCTGAGGACAGTGGATGTCAACACTCTCATGAAAAATCAACCGGACGACGTAAGTACGTTACAGCCAATCTTACGTTTCAGGATCACACCAGACTTGCCTCAGCGTCGTCTAGACCTTGGGAGTAAGAGGATTAATCACAACATTTTTATTCACTACTCCTTCTGTACAAATCTTGAAGCCTGCATTACTAGACTTGTCAATGGGAGAATGGATTGTATGAACAATAAGGACAATACTAATAGGATGTATATTAATATCTCGAAAAAATATTTCTTTCAGTGTCACGAACAGCCAGGAAACCTTCAATTATTTCTCTGCTTGGTAAGCTAATATAATAATATTATGATTTGAGAAAACAATTTATAAGCACTTGTCAACAATGCGGAACATTTTAGTGTTGCCATAATTACATTATAAGCCTATAAAATAAGGAAATCGGGCTAGAATCTTGTAGGCTACTCATCAATCTGACAGTTTACAACATTTCTTTTATCTGACCTGCACAGTTCAAGAGTTACCACAGTCAGACCGTTTCTTTTTGTGCAGTATGATATGTTCTGGCGTCCAGTGCTTGAAGTTAAGACCGCTGAGAACCCAGAGCCCTTCCTAACGGCACCTCCTCAAGAAGTCATCAAGTCTGGCGACTTCAACCGGGTGCCATTGTTGCTGGGCTCCAACTCTCATGAAGGATCCTTATTCCTGCTACGTAAATGCAAAGCTAAATATGTCACAACATATGCACACAAAAGTTTGGTTGGATAAATTTAGGAAAAGTGACAATGGCGTATGTTGAAGAGTATTTTTGAGTTGGATTTTAAATGTGCAGGTATTCAAAAATATGTATACACACATTTAATGAATGAAACAAAACAAAAATGAAGTAAACCATTACAAACGTCAGCATTGGCACGGAGTGAATTAGCAAATCAACTGCAGGTGTTCAAAATTACCACCGTTAGCTTCGTGGTAGAGTTGACAAGGGTGAGCAACTGATTGACTGCTGCTGTGTATACATCTTTTTGGGATTTCCTTTAGATTGTGAAGACTTAATAGAGTTCTTTATCCACTTAAAAAGGATTCGGGGAAAGTAGTTAGATTTTATGCACAGTGATATCTGCAATGTGAGGCCAATAAATTATCTCAAAGAAATGGTATACATTTAAAAAATATGTGTTCACCTAACAGTGTACACCTTTCTAGCATACAATGTGTCGTAAATCTGGATAGTTTCGTTTCTCCTCAGCTTTCGTCAGCACCCAAGCTGGTATCGATTACTTGAATGACCACTTGGACGACGTTGGCAGAGTCGCGTTCTTCTTGCATGAAAGCGTGCCACAAGACAATATTTCTGACACGTGGAAGAAGGTGGTTGACTTCTACCTGGACGGCGACCGCATCATAACCCCAGCCACTGTGCACAACATTATTGACGTAAGTCCCATGAAATAATCGGAGAATTCTGAGTTCAAATTCGAATCAGAAGTATGGGGGAAAAAATATTGATGATGACTGCCTTCTGGAATGTTGTGCTGTGCAGTCTAGTAGAAGTCTTCTCATGTTTCTGAGGTGCTTGTTGTCTCCACTTCATAAGGAAAGATGGGCTTGTGGTATCAGATGTATATTTAAAATATTATCCCTCCCTTTTACTATGACTTCCACGTCATCACCTGTTGTGTCATATATTTAAAAATAATGTTCGTTTCTGTGGTGATAACAGGCAGCAACGGACCGGTTCATGCAACATAATGTACAGAAGTCTGTAGAACTGCACCTCAAGTCAGGCCATGACAAAATCTACCTCTACAACCTGCGCTACCGTGGGAAGTACAGTGCATTGTCAAATGCACGATATGGAGAGACACAGTATGACCTTGGTAGGTAATGCAATAGACACGGCTGGCTGTATTGAGGTTACCTAGCTCAGTGCAAGTTAATGCGATGTTTAAAACAGAGCCACTCATCAAGTCATATAAACCCCCAGGATCATCCATGGGATGGCCATTAATTCATTTTAAAGCACTACACAATACAAAAAATAAGTAAAGTTTATTTCAAAGGGTTCTTTAGTTTAGCCCAAATGTGTAAAAGCTTCAACAATACCAGCAACCTTTGGGATGCTCAAGGAAATTGTGACTACTAATTATCAAATTAGTTTATTCCTCCTGAAATGCAATTAATTTGAGGACACACACCACAAATTTGTTTGTTAACCATCATAAACAATGGCTGTGGCAATCAATTTCATTGCTGATAGCTTTATCACCATTATCACACATTCCTTGCATGATGTGCACAAAATGAAATTTTACAGATAAACAGAAAAGACAGCACAATCACATTATGTAAAATGAGACATTGAATCCATAAAAATGTCTGAGATAAACAGGAGATTCTCTTTCAGTTTCTGATGGTTACATCTTAAAAACAGCCTCTAAAAACAGCAGATAAACATGTACTCTACACCCATGAAGTTGTTATTAGAGTGATAAAATCAAAAAGGATGAGATTGACAGGGAATGTAGTATGCATGGCACATGAAAAAGTATACAACACTTTAGTCAGAAACAATTAATTCTTTCCACGGAATTAGTTTATGTAAAGTATAAATTAAGTTAACTGACAGGGGTAATAAATAAACTGGCCTGATAAATTTCAATATAAATCTCCAATAACAAATTTAATTTAAATCAGCACGGGGACTGGCAGGCAGAGATAAAGACATGATTACCACAGTATGTACTTATAAATTAATTGTAAAACTTTTCTTTCCTTGATAATATGTAAGTACTATTCATGTGATTACAGACTGATTTAACAGAAGAAACAATGATTTATTTCAGGAGTTGTCCATATAGATGAGATGGAATTTATTCTGAGTTCATCTTTGATGGCAGACAGATGGCAGCCAAGTCACCCTGACCTTGAAACAGTTGAAGCTGTAGTCACCTTGTGGACAAATTTTGCAACACACTGGTAAGACACTCTAGGGGATGTCCTCAGGATGAGATTGTGGTTAATTAAATGCAGAAAGAGACTGATGTGGCCCTAACCTTCAAAACGTTCTACTGCTCTAGTATGGCTGATAAACTTCAGCCCAATTTCCCTAAGTATCTTGAAATCTTATCACAGTAGAACTTAGAAACTAAACAAATTCCAAGAACCACCAAAGTTCTTTTTGAGAAGCTTAGCTAGTTATGAAATTAATTCGCTGCCTTTTATGTACCTCAATCTCATCAGACTTTTCAAAAGAAATTATGTATAAATTTCTTATCTCCCTCATGCACACTAAATGCTCCACCCATCTCATCCTCATTGATTTGATCATCCTATTAGTATTCGGCAGAAACTTAACTTGAACTGATTTAATTACAATTCTTTCTGCACTACACCCCACTCATTACTTTCAAACCAGAATGATGTATGGTGTCTTCCTCCCACCATTCTACCACACACATACTTGATGTTCTACCCCTCTCATTCTTTTTTACACATGACACATGAAATGTATTATATGTTTTAATTGATCATTAGTTTTCCAGACAGGAGACTGGAAAATAACAAAATTTCAAACTAAATGGTAGCAAGCATTTTCTGAATTAAATCTGCTTTCTTCATAAATATAATTTTGGTCTGTTGCTATTCTTTCCAGGTACTTGAATTTACCCACACTTTCAAAGGATTTATTAGCAAACTTTATATTATGATGTCTTATACACTGATGAACCAGATGACCTGTTCTTCAAGTGCCTGAGCACTGTGGGTCCAAACTTTTCATTGGCTCGATCTATAGACATTTCGGTAGGACTCCTTGGACAAGGGATCGGCCTGTCGCAAGGCCTCTACCTGTACACAAGACAGCACAACACAGAAAAACGCGGATAAACATCCATGGCTTGAGTGGGATTTGAACCCACGGTCCCAGCGACTAAGCGGCACAAGGCCCATGCCTCAGAGAGCGCGCGGCCACTGCGGACCCCTGATGAACCAGACACGCTGTATTCCGTATTTCTTTTTATAGACTGATCTCCCAGCAATTTTCTAATATGTTTGCAGTATTTTTTACATTACTGATGTCTTTGTCTATTAAATTAACATCACCACAGAACAGTACAGTAATCCATCCAATTACAATCTGTCCCAAATTTATTGGACTTCACTTTGTTTTATGGCTGTTATAATCATCATTATTGTATTAATTATTTCGCTTGTTTCTCGTTCATTAGGAACCCAACACCTGATGCAAAATCCGCACCTCAAGGTGTTGTGTGGCCAACAGCCGGTGCCAACAAGAATACCTTGGTGTATTATGTGTTGGATCATGCCCCAGCTGAACCCATTTATGGCATCAAGCCACTACATATAAGTGTGGTTCCTGACAAATTTAAAGATCGCATAGACTTCTGGGATTCTCTGCCTCTCAGGGAAAATCAAGAAGAGTGAAACAGTTGGTTGGTTTTCAAGAGCTCTCCTATAGATATGTAAATGGTGTATGATAGATTTACTTCTGTTTCCAGGTATACTTACATCCTGGAAACATACAATTTTGTCAATTCTTTGTACAACAAATAAGTTGTGATACAATTTACAAATTATGTAAAAGTACATGTTTTTTCTCTCTTTTTGGAAACATGAATTCAAACCTAAAATGTACAAAAATCGAATAAACCATAATTTCTGTTCTGGAAGTATGATCCAATCTTAAAAACTTTTAGCATTGAAAAAAAGTTGTTTTGTGATGTTTAAGTTCTGAATGTGTATAATTAACAACTATGTCAATGAAGTCTGACAATAATATTTAAAACTAAAATGCACAATACACTTCCGGCAAACATGAGCAAGCAGGTGGCAAAAACAACAATAAACAATTTGCTTTTACAATGTTCTAAGTTTGAATCGTTTAAACTGGTTCACTGGTCTTAAAGCCTGTTGAGGAATCCACAGACAAGGGAAACCAGTGGTGGCAGCCTAGCATAGCTTTGCACTGAAATTGAATTTCTCTACAAGAGCAGCAATGTGAAAGCAATAGAGGACTGCACGTCCAAACTGGGACAGGGAGAAGAATTTTCTTTCACGAAGAAAGAGAAGGGAAAAAAAGAGACTATTCCAGAAGTCTCCTGGAATGAAATGTGGCACAGACGACTTCTTCATAGAAGCAAACTATGAATCACATCGATCTTTCTCATAACCAACACTTAAAACACCTTCCGTCGTAGGCATTTCCATCATGCCATATGTACTCGTTATATCGCTCTATTGTTATTACTGGAGGAAATTTCTCTCCACTGACTAAATCACAGCTCAAACTTTCGTCATAATATATAACATAAAATTCCCTGACAATGGCAAAAGCCGTGTCCTTGGTCCCACAATGTTTAAAACAACAATTAAGGATACCAATAAAAATACGGCGGCAGTCACAGTAACGGCCCGTTTGTATCAGAACCAAAAGTGCATAGATTACAGCAAATTAATGGTGACAACTCGGCTACCAAAGCCTTCTTTGTGCAAATGGGACGATAAAATTAAGTTCCGTTGAGCTTTTCAACTTCTAACGTACTTCATTAATTATTTTGTTCCATTTATCAATACGAGACGGGTTGATTTCGTAATAATGGGATTAATAACAGAGTAATGTTGCGTGTTTCCAAGAAAGTCAGTTATATATGGAACTAATTCCCGTGAGAGAGTACGTGAAGCATGAACTACAAAATAGAGTTATGAAATATTTAAGAATTAATTTCAGTTATAACATCCACTGCCCAATATGTGACGTGCATTTTCCGTCTTATGATAAAATGAAATAACTGCGTCACATTCACTAGGCCTTAAAAGTGTAATTCAGATGTATCCGGCAACAACTGCGTTTCTGCTAGTCATTGTCATAATTCGAGTTTCAGCCATACCACATAAAAATGGCTTCGGTATTATTAACGAATTGGAGAATAATTCTAATATAAATAACAATTATAACCATTATGACGACACATCAATGAAGGATTCTAGACACACTGCCAATAGCACCTTCGATAAAAGTGACCACGCTAATCCAAGAAAACATCGAAATAATAGTATTCAAATATGGAAAGACTACAAGTCCGGCCACGGCATTTCAAGAAGTGCGTTGCTTAGGAACGAACAGGAAATGTCTAAGTTGTTGCCAAGTCAACAAAACAAATTTTACCATTTTCATCATGGAAAACGTGACAAATCCGAAGAGCTATCACACAAAAGGATACAAGAAACCTCAGCGCCGCTGCCAACTCAAGATACTATTGCTCAACAGTCGGTGTTAGTAAGGCTGCTGACAGACAAGATAACGCTGACATCGGGGCACAGACTGGCAAAGAACTGCATGAACGCCTCGGATAGCGTCCAAGTACCCTCCGTTGTCAAACTACTCAATTACATAGCAGAGCAGTACCTGTTCAACTGCATATCTGTGATCCTTTATGATGACTTCTACGAGAATCAGTTCCACCTCCTGCGAGCTCTCCTCAGCACATACCCACTGGCTTTTTTCCACGGCAAGGTCGGCAAGCAAGGTCTGACCGACCCGCCAGACTCGAGGTGTAGGAACTTCTTACTCCTCGTCAGGGACCTCAAGACGACACAGGCAGTGGTGGGAGGGCGAAGCACCAGCAGGGTCATCGTGGTGACGCAGGCTTCCAGGTGGCGCGTACGAGAGTTCTTGAGCTCCAGGCTGTCACACAACTTAGTGAACCTCCTGGTCATCGGTAAACAGAGCCAGGCGAGTCACAGATCTGGTTTCGTAAAGAGTGGGTCTATGAAACTAACACAGAAAATAAAATGCAGCTCTTATATTTAGTCTCAATTTGCTTAGCTGCTGTACACTAGGCCTTAAATCTGAAAATTTGGCATTTTTAATGTAAATCGATATAAATACTTTGTCACTTTTTAACTCCAAACTTTTCATTTTTAGAGCATAAGGAACTCCGTGAACACAGAACCATTTATATTGTTCATCATTACTCTGCAGTTTTTTCCTATCTTAGGGCACTTTTTATTTTTATTTTGCCTTTGTGGATATTTAATTGGAAAAATTCAACAGGCCACAAATTACTGAAGACCTTGAACTAATCAATACTAACCCAAATTAAAAATCACGTTCTTCCGACATGAAACATACATACAATACTGATGTACTTGCGCAAGACATCATGGGTTTTTTATTAGCCAGATATATTTAGCTCATTGCTTGTTCCAGTCCAACTCTATCAAGCAACAAAACATAGACATCAACCTGTACACACATGACCTGTTTGTGAATGGCCTGGGTTCGAGCTCCGTATGGATCCTGACTGCTTGGAGGTGTGGTGCCCTTACCCGCCCAACAGTTAACCTTTTCCCTGACAAGTTGCGTGCAGGCTTCATGGGGCACCAGTTTGTGGTTGCTGCAGGTCACCAGCCACCATTTGTGGTGAAAAGGTATAACTAGTTGACTCATTCATACACTGACTAATTACTTACTAATAAGTTTAAAGAACATTCAACTCTAAGGGTTATTTGCAAAATATCAACACATTAACTTATACTCAAACTGTAACACATCAATTTTGATTCTTGGGTGAACAAAATATAATATTGGAACATCAGGCAAGTTATATATATGGAGGCTGTATCCAAACCGGCTTTGCATTGCAGGGAGCAGTTCTTTGATGGACAGCGTCTTGTCACCTCATGGGATGGGACAGAAATCAGGCTTCTATGGCTCATGGCTAAGGTGCTAAATTTTTCCTTCACTGTTGAAGAACCTAAGGATGCACTCTTCTTGTAAGTTACGATGATCAGAGACAGACATATGTATATGATTACGTACATGATTATCAACGCATGTAATTACAAAGTTTTTTTAAATTATTTAAATTAAGAGTATCTGTGAAGAGAACACTGAGAAGAATATTTATTTCACCCTTATAAAGACAAAACAATAGGAACTGACAGAACTTCATGCCAAAGAACTTCCCAGTTCATATGCTTCAGGGTAATTAAATCAAGAAGGAAGAATTGGCCACAAGACAGTACTGGGGAACCATGTAATGCAACAAAACTTCAAAGGAATCATGAGATGGATACAAAAGATTAGTTGGAAAACCAAAAAAGAGAACAATGTGGGAGACCTACACAATGATGGGAGAACAGTATTCAAATAGGTGTTAGAGAATGAACTGTGGAGTTCTGAACTGGACTGGTGCGCTCTGCACAGGATTCAGCAGCGGGCTTCTGTGAGTAAACAGTACGAGATGGGCAGGAAATGTAACACTCGAGGAAAAATATAAAACACATTCAAATTTTATGTTAAGACAACTCAAGGGAAGAGATCATTTCGAAGACCTAGATGTAGATGAGAGAATAATATTAAACTACATCACAGATAAATAGGTTTAAGGATGTGAAGTGGATTAAAATGCCACAAGACAGGTTTCAATGGCAAACATTTATCACAGTGAACCTTAAAATAAATCTGGGAATTTTCTAGTGAGGTGTGTAACATAGGTGCTGGGTTACTTCATCAGGAGTCTGTCAGTTGCGTTTTAGAATTCAAGGTAAGTTCACAATGCTTAGAATCAGATATCAATTCAGCTCTAATGAGAAACACTGCTAATGCTGCAGGCCTGAAGCTTCTAGCGCTGTCGTGAAAGAGCTCCTGGCAGGTCGGGCCGACATTGGAGTGGCTGGTATTTATACAACTCCATCACGAGTAGCAGTACTCATCACATCATCACCACACACACAGGACTGTGTGACTTTTATGACACTCGCCTCTACTGCATTGCCAAGGTAAAGCATGGAACCTGTCAGTTTGCCTCTCCCAAACACTCCATACTTAATATACTACATCATGCTCCTTTATGCAGGTATCGTGCAATAATGGGACCATTCCACTGGACGGTGTGGCTAGCTCTCACCCTGACTTACATTCTCGCCATCTTCCCCATTGCATTCTCCTACAACCATTCACTGAAACACCTGCTGAAGGACCCCTGGCAGGTGGAGAACATGTTTTGGTATGTATTTGGAACATTCACCAACTGCTTCACATTCAAGGGAGAGTGGAGTTGGAGCAAGTCTGACAAAGCAGCCACAAGGATGCTTATAGGTGAGAGAACGATGTAGTCCTGAGAAAGATATTCAGTAAAATTGTTTATTCTAATTGTAGTAAGGGTCCCTACTATGCCACATGTCCAAGAAGACTTATAGTCCCATATTTCTCATTTTTGTTAGTTTTGATTTGGTTTCACTATCTCAAAAATCACTCACACCTCACAAGTTATATCATCCACCATATTGTTATTAAGGGAACTTGTATATAAGAATTAAAATTTTGCATGTGGTTTTTAGCTGACTTTCCTTTCTTTAAATGAACAGAAAGGGCCTTCTTCCTTCTCCATTCCAAACTTCAAATCCATTAACTAATTCCATTAAGCTTGGTATGAGCATTATGCCACTGGAGGGCACCCCAGTGTCATACTTCTCAATTTTCTAGTTATTCAACCTTTAGGTTATATGGTGTTCTTAGAATAAAGTTTGTAAAATGAACATGCAGTGGGAATGTTGTGCCTGTCCATCTGTACCATCTTCAAAATTACTTAACAGATTTTTATGAAATTCAGGATTAAGTGTCTACACTATAGGTTTATGAAGAAATCTACTAACAATTTTATTTAAATCTAGTCTATTATAACTCAACTCACTTCATGTTCAAATCAACCCCTATAAATTATTTTAAAATGCTTATTATACAAAGAACATGGCATGTGCCATAAAATACAGAGCTCATTAAAGTCTACAAATTTTTAAATATTTCTTGCCATGGAGTACAATCAACACAATACAGGGGTAAATCTTTCACAGCAGTGAGAAATAAATAGAGGCCAGTGAGGTATGCAAAACCAGAAAGAATGAATAAAAAAATTGTCATCTACTGAAGCAAACCTTCACTCTTTGAAAGGGACAAGAAAATAAGAGATTTCAAGTTGAACAACTGCATGCATTTCCCACATTGAATATCCTCAGAATGTGCATATGTTAGGATACTGATTACTGTCTACTTGTGTGTTTGAGCACCAGGTTCATACTGGGTCTTCAGCATTATAATATCAGCATGCTACACTGGCTGCATCATTGCCTTCATCACTTTGGCAGTCTACCCATCCTACGTGGAAAACTGTTATGACGTGCTAGATCGTGACTTCAGAGTTGGAACTCTCGGTAAGTCTTACACCTAAACAAGTACCACGTATCTGCGTGCAGCATTTAAGGGCTTAAAAATATCAGAACTTTCAAGAATTACAACCTATTTCCATAATTTCCTTCTCTTTCAAATGTACAATTACACTGAGGAGTCTCTACATTTTAGGCAATAGCTCTCAACCACTTTAAACAACGATAACATGTTTTCTATATAAAGGTCATGGAGGATGGCAAGAATGGTTCAATGACTCTGCTGACCCAGCCACCACCAAGCTCTTTGAGAAGATGGAATACCTGCCTGACCTTGAGTCCGCACTACATAATATCACCAAGGCTTACTATCGAGACTATGCTTTCCTGGGATCCTGGTCCCTCCTCGACTACATCATCCGAATAAATTACACAAAAAGGTCGGTAAACTTCATCAGTGAAGTGACTGGTACTCTTCAGCAGGTCCTGGATTCTATCTTGGCCAAGAGACTGGATATCCTGACTGAGGCTTACATGGCCTTCCTCACTAACTTAAAATTAGGAGGAGAATAAATTCTTAAGATACCTTTTATTATACAACAGAAACTCTTACCACCAACCATTCCTGAAACACTAAAAAATTGATATACAAAAGCATCTGCATGATAGTGAGATAAAACAAATGACAAGTATCTGAAAATAAAGTGCTTACAAAAAATATTTGGATCTACAAAGGATATCAAGCAATCTACTTAACTCTAAGGTCTGTCATTTATCCAGATCAGAAATCTAGGATGCTACAATGTGCTGAACACGTAACTCAGATAAGGTAGACAAGAAATGCATACACAAACCTGACAGGAAAATCACTTAATTGGTATTTACTTGATATACTGAGAGGATTAACTTCAAAATAGATCTCACAGAAAACAGCT